GATGACAAAAACTCCTCCTCGTCGCAATACAAGGGAGCGGCGACAAACGAACTCCCGAACCATGTGACCTTAGACATCAACTTTACCGAGTTTGACCACCATATCCATAGGTAAATAGGTCGTACAAACTTGATTAAACAGAAGTTATCAAACACTAACTGGGCTTCTCCAATCCCTAAAATATCATGCAAAAGAATATTCTATGGTCGTTGGAGGAAGATTGTTTTTGAAGTAATCATTCTCGGGTTTACGAGTGACGGACATCACACCGTGTTATACGCGACGGAGGAAATAACCCATCATTATCGTAGAAGCGGGAAGCAGACAGATCCGCCTGGGCGAACAGTGGCCAACAAGTGAGTCGCCCCGCTTTCCTTCTCGTCCGTAGACGCTAACCCTAGTCCTCGTCATCTACCTGGTTATCCTCGATTCTGCGACGCCAGCTTTTACGTCGGCCGCTCCGAGGATCCCAGTTTCACCTATGTCCTCCTCTCGCCCTTCGGTGTCCGTCTTCGGGTTCTGTTTCGCTTCTGGGTGAGAATATCTTGTCCTCTGAACCAAGATTCCTTTTAATTTCCTCCTCCTCGGTGTTAGAATCCCTCGTCTGTTTGATCGGTGGACCAAAGTCGGTTCCTTTTGCGTGGATTTCCTTTTACTTGCAATTTTTCTCCGGTTTTCTCCCTTGGGCTTATGTTCACGGTTGTTGATTTTCCAGATTTAATCTTCTTTTGCTTGGTTTACGATCAGTGATTTTTAGTACCTGCGTGTTCCAGTCTTTGTTTCGTTGGTTTTTCTTTGTTTTAATGCGAATTTTGGAAGTCGTATTGATTTCTTTTTGTACTAGGGTTTTGTTGCTCGCTATGTTTCTTTTTTGGTTTTAATCGCGTAATGCTATTGGTTTCTAATTTCACTGTACTTCTGTCTTCTTTGGTGTTAGTTTTTAGAATCCACTAGATGATTGAACTCATTTTAATATGCGTCTTCTGCTTCTTTACCTCCTTTTTGTTGGGAATGTGATTACCAGATAGGAAGACAAAAGGACGTAGTACTTTGATCGGTTAAAGTTGGCATCTTTCTTATGGAGGGCTTGGGAGGCCTGGGATTCGGTGGTTCGAATACTGTGATGAAGAAGCCGAGGAGTGCTACCTTGAGGCGGCCTCGGCTTGAGGCACAGCTGGTTTCAGAATCTTATGATAATTTGAGGAGGCTCTCTCCTGTTGATGATGGATGCAGCGAATCCAGCACCAGAAGGAAAGAATATTATCTCAACAACCCTCCTCCAAAGAGTTCATCTGTCAATATAGCTTCTTCAAAGAAGATCAAGCAAAGTGATAAGATGTTTGGAGGGGTTGATGGGATGCATTATGGCAGTTCACGAGGTGGACATGGCTTTGACTCGAAATGCCGCAGTAAAGGTGTCCTGGCCCCAGCGAAGTGGAGAAGCACAGACAAGGTTAAAGAAGATACTGAGGAGCGATCAAAATCCCTGGATGCCAATGTAGGAAAGAGTGATGTGAGTTATAATTTGCAGCAGCCAGAAGCGGTTTCTATTGTGATGGCTGAAAACAAGCCAAGGAAGGTGAAGCTCAAGGTTGGTGGAGTTACACACACAATAATTGAGACAGATGAAGGTGGATCTTCTTCTGCAAAACATCCACGTTCCTTGGATGCATCTCACCATCGTCTCAAGCTTATTGACCCGGTAGTATGCTGCCACAGATACATATTTTAATATTTGCTCATCATGGAACAATAACTCTGAAAATAGAAACTTAGCCATAAGTTAATAAACTGCCTACTACAATAATAGTGTATGATCAATAATGTTGATTCAAATATGTTAGAGATGTTTGCCTGGTAATTTAGTAAAATATGCTGTGCTAGTAAATTCTTAAGATGTCTTATCATTCAGGTCTGAGCTTTATCTGTGTTGTATGGCCTTTATGTTGATACTCATTCGAAGAACTGTGGACTGTAGTGGCATTGTGATTTACTTCTGTTCTCAGTTTCAGAGTTACTCTGATGGTCAATCTCTACAGGAGAGGGGGAATGGCTCACAAGGAGATCAGAGGAAGGAATCCAGTGGATCGAGCGTTTCTCATGGGATGAAGGAGGATTCTACGGGAACAGTGGCTGAAGAAAGCTTAGTTGGAAAGCAAGCAGACAAGTTTCATATGAGTGCTTCTTTTGAGCCCACTCGTAAGAGTAAAAGGGTCCCAAAGAGGCGAATGTTTGATAATGAGGAGGAAGATGATGAGATTCGTTACCTTGAAAATGTTAAAACTTCTAAGGCTTCTGCAGTTGATTCTGCGGAAATTGAGGATAACAGCGAGAACAGTGTCAAGAAAAGGAAAATATCCAAGCTTCCTAGCAACAGAAATACTGTTAATGAGATGGATGAAGACTATGTTGTTTCTCAATCAATCAAAGAGAATACTAGGAACTTAAGACCAGGAGGAAAGGAAGATGATGATACAGACTATGTTGAAGAGGAAGAACCTGGTTCTGATGGTGAGCCTGAGATCAAGAGAAGAAAACAGAAGGAATCTAGTGGCTTACAAGCTGATATTAAGACTGAGCCTCTTACTACACGTCAACGGGCACTTCAATCAGGAAAAGGAGGCAGTGGTGAAAGTTTCATCGAGTTCCCAAATGGGCTACCAACTGCACCCTCTAGAAGTAAAGCCTGATATCACTGTCAATACTCTTAACAGGATAGCTTGTAAGAAAACTTTCTCATGTTTCCTTCCTTGTATAATGATTCAAGAACAAAGGGAGACGTTATCTGAAGTGGAGATACAAGCAAAGAGAGCAGAGGCTGCTCAAAGACGGAAAATGCAAGTAGAGAAGCAAGCTAGAGAATCTGAGGTTTGTCTATTTTTCCTTTTTTGGATGTAACTTGGCATTACTATTATCAGGGAATTGCCTAATTGAATATAACTTCGCAGGCTGAGGCAATAAGGAAAATATTAGGTCAAGGTTCTGACAAGAAAAAAGAAGAAAAGAAGCAGAAAGAACTCGAAGAGAAGGTACTGATCCCAAACTTCAGTGATGCTCTAAATGTACTCCAATTGATTTTTTTTTTTTTCCTTATTTTTCTCTGAAGGCAAAGTTGGCTAAGTCACAACCTTTAAGCCCGAGCACCATTAGATGGGTCAGGGGACCCTTTGGCACAGTTGTTACTTTTGCTGATGATGTAGGTCTTCCAAGTATATTTGACTCCAAGCCTTGCAGGTGAGATGTCAATTTCTAATTTAAACTTGGGAGGTAACAGGTTCACAGCATGAGGCTTAAAAATTGGTAATGTTTCATTGATATCTTATGTTTGTGCATTGCTCATGTGTTTTCACCCTTTGGTTAATTTTGCTTTATGGCATCTTACATTCTGTTTATGTAACTAACTTTTGCCTGCATGCTTATTATTGATATTCTTTCTGGATTAACCTTGATTCAGTTACCCTCTTCCACGAGAGAAATGTGCTGCCCCATCGTGTACAAATGCATACAGGTATCGGGACTCCAAGACTAAACTTCCCTTATGCAGTCTACAGTGCTATAGGGCAAGTTCAAGGAAGATGTGAGCTATCAGTAACTAGTTGATATTTCTGATTGCGATGTATATATGCAACTACTACAGTAGCTTGATCTTTTCTCAATCTTAAAATATAAAGAGATGGCGATTCTAAAGAAGTATTTTACCTGATTTAATGACCTTTTTTAGCCAATAACTCAAATTTTCTATAGTGATGGTCTTACTCCTTCATGAGTGGTTGATGCACATCAATATGTAATTTACTCATGGAAGTCACTAAGGTCAATTTTTTTCCCAGCATTTACATGGTAATTCTTAGAGAGTGGTTATTCCTAGTTTGCTTATATTCTTCAGTTTTCAGATTTGCTGTTATATTGGTTGATGGTCTTACTCCTTCATGATTGGTTGATGCACATCAATATGTAATTTACTCATGGAAGTCACTAAGATCAATTTTTTTCCCAGCATTTACATGGTAATTCTTAGAGAGTGGTTATTCCTAGTTTGCTTATATTCTTCAGTTTTCAGTTTTGCCGTTATATTGGTGCTTTTCTTTGGGCATGTTACAAACTTCTGTGGATTGCCATGTTAAAACTCTTCTTCGTTTGCTCCATTGATATTTGTTGCTTCAAAAATTATAGTCGGCTCATATATCTTGCTGTTGCAATCAAGTGGAAGTGGCATGATGACCGCCACTTGGTAATCTATTTCCGACATGAAAATAACTTGCAGTTGTTTATGGGTGTTGCCACTATTTTTTCCACCTCATGTTTATTACAAGCATTGTTGGTCCTTTCAGGGTTTCTTCAGGATATAGGCAGATAACTATGATTTTTAAAGCCTCTAGATTACATCATGGTAAGTTATGCCCAGAAAAGGACCCACTGCTGCTCCAATAAGTGTTTGATTCTTTTTATTGTTTGTAGTCCTATCTATGAAAAACTAAGATGATTATGGTTCATGCATATGCAACTATCCACAACTTGATTATTCTTTTTCTGTTTCTGATGCAAGTTGTTGAATCTAGATTTGATCTCCGCACTTGGATTTCAAACAACAACAACAACAATGACGATAATGTTACATGGATATTTTGGTACTGCATTTCAAATCTTTTCTAGAGGCTCCGCTCATAATACAATGCTCTTTAATGCTACAGTACTTGCTGGTGGTCCGAAATGCAGAAACTTGAAATGAAGTATCAGAAGGTTCTAATTATGGAGGAAATAGAATACCATGGAGATAGCTCTGATGTCATTTTTCCAAATAAAATATCGAGAAACTTGAATTTCCATCCATTTTCATGTTGATCTTTCACGCCCATGGAAATTATTGTTCGGCATCGGCTTCCGGCTGTGGACACCATTCGTGGAGGCTGGCAATTCACTGCATGGCCTACGAGGAAGTTAAACCACCTGAATACTGCCGGAACGGTAGGAGAAGAACTTTCTACCCTTTTTCTGGACTGTAATGCAAAGTTGCCGTCTTGTGATTGGAGGAGCGTAGGACCACTGAGCTCCAACCAAAGGGAGGCAGGTAAACTGGGAAGCAATAAGCGGCTAGGTGAGTACACCCCCGATGGAGGGTACTTTCACAATGCAACATCATACGCGGTCGTTCGCATCCTCGATCCGCCACTGGGCCAATGTCTCCACTTCGAATCCTCCGCCCTCTCCTAACGGACTGTTCGAGGCCATCTCGCTTTCTCTCTGCCCTCTTCCCCTCGTCTACATATATCCTCCGATTTCCCACCCTCCCAAAACCCTAATTATTCCTCCATTTCTCTCTCCTCCTGCTCGCCTTCCCCTGTCCTTACTCAGCACCCCTTGCTCCCGCGATGCCAGCCTCCGTCTCGCTCTCCCTCTCTCTCCCCCTTTCTCCTACTGCCAGATCCGATCCGTCGGTCGCCGCCTCCCCCTTCGGTGCCTTTCGCCGCTCCGGACTCCGCTTCTGCGGCCTCCGAAGGGAGGTATTGTCCCTCCGCTCGTTGAATTCGGAGGCCTCCGGGCGGATCTCCCCGTATCCCGCACGGGGGCTCTCCAATAAGGTCTTGGCTGCGGCGAAGAGCAACGGGAGCCCCACCAAGGGCTTCGATTATGATCTTGTCATTATTGGAGCGGGCGTCGGAGGTCATGGTGCGGCGCTCCATGCCGTTGAGAAGGTAATGTTGTAACTTAGAGCTTGGGTTCTGGTCGCCCGCGACTTCTTGATGGTATAATGGCTTACCGTATAGCTGGCCGAATCGTCTTGAGTGACATTATTCTAATTAATTTCCTTTTTTCTCATATATGATTCTTTTTTTCTGATCCTTTCTTTCGTTGACAAAATCTGTTAGGGTTATGCCTTTTTTCACAATTCTATCTTACTTTTGGGCAATACAGTAGTAAATTACTTGACACAATAGTAAAACCGGTTGGTTTTTTGACTCGTTTACCATTTATCTATTGATGCTGTTCGCTGATGGTTACAGTAGTTGTTGCTATGTTTCTTGGGATACCCATGCATGATCTACCAATGTTCATGAAACATTTTCGTGTAGCAAATAGAAACGGACAGATTGTAGAGAAACCTATAAAGCAGTCATTTCTTGGGCCACTTCCCTTGCACAACCTGATGTATGTTTATGAAGTCACAAACATGAGAAGATTTCAATGTTTGACTGAAGCATCAAGTTTTTGGCTATAATTTAACCTGTTGTATTGACATGTCGTGTTAATGTTTGGATTTCATTTGGCTGTTTATTTGCTCACCATATGCTTTGGCTTATTCTTCATAAGAATTGAGTCCTGATATGTGTTGGTTTGCAGGGACTGAAAACTGCCATTATTGAAGGGGATATTGTTGGTGGTACTTGTGTAAATAGAGGGTGTGTTCCATCTAAAGCTCTTCTTGCTGTTAGTGGTCGCATGCGTGAGCTTCAAGATGAGCACCACTTGAAGGCGTTGGGCCTACAGGTATTGAAACTTCAATTGTTCTTTCTCTTACCATATGGCTAGAATCCAGAAACGATTGCATGGAATCGTACTAATGCCTAATCTGGTACTTAAGAACTAATTGTTTTGGCAAATAAGATCAAAGAGATACATTTTTTCTCTTTCTTCATTATGTCTTTTTTTGTTTCTGACGAGATGTTTAATCTGATTAGTTCACATGCCACTTATTATAACTGCTTTGACTGAAGAAATTTGGAACATTCTTTGTGTATGCCATGATGATAATGTAAATAAAGATCTTAATGTACATTTACACATATCTTCACTTCACTGGAATATATTTAAGCCCCAATTTTACTGGAAATTCTTTGTGTCATCAGGTCTATATTATGAAAAATGCAATTTCCCACCTTAATTGTTTTTTTCTAGTCATGCCACCTCCACTATATTTTCTAGAGAGTGCACTGCACTTAATTGTTTTAATCTATTTATAAGTTAAACATAATAAATATGCCATTCTTTGATACATTGCTCTGAAATGACAGGTTGCATCTCCTGGATATGATAGACAGAGTGTTGCAGATCATGCAAATAATCTTGCTTCTAAAATCCGGAGCAATTTGACTAATTCAATGAAAGCTTTAGGTGTTGACATACTCACAGGAGTTGGCACTATTGTGGTAAGTTGCTTGTGTTTGATGTTAAGCCTTCTGCAGTATATTGATCATCATTGTTCCTCATTTAATAGCTGAGTTTCCATCTTGTAGTAGATTGTGACATATTATCCAATGGCATTTGTTGATAAGCATTTTAGTATTACATGATCCAAACCAGGCATAAACTGTGATTGCAATTTGGGTTGGTCCCTTCGGACACTTATCTTTATTTGTTTTTTCTTCCTCCAATGATTTATGAGGTAATGTCTTAGTGCCATGTTAAAGTGTCATGAACTAATTTCTTATTATGATGTACTAATATTTTCCAGGGGACACAAAGGGTGAAATATGGAAAAGTTGGGTTCCCTGATACAGAAGTTACAGCTAGGAACATAATAATAGCAACTGGATCTGTTCCATTTGTACCCAATGGCATTGAAGTGGATGGTTAGCTCTATCTTCTCTGACTTATCTAATTGGTAATTAGTCATTTATGTCTAATTGTCTACAAATAAGTGCATGTACTGTTGTCGATGTTGGAAATTTTCCCTTATGAAAATGATGAAATTCAGCATTCATTTCTGTATTCTTTATTGTATGTGGTTGCAGAAACAAGAATATATTAATATGTAATCGACCAAAAATATTATCAATGTTATCTTCTAATCATAATTTTTGCCCTTTTTATGCCAATGATCTATAAGATTTTCACCTCTAGCAGTTTTTCCTGATATGAATTCCCAACTTCATGAACTCTCTCATGAAGAGGTTTATGCTTCAACATTTTTTAAACAAATGATCAGTCAGAACATAGCTTAGGATTCCACATTTCTTTTCTAACTCTTTTAGATGGAGACTGTTGTTTCCAAGATATTGTGGAAAAGATCATGATTTATGTGTAATAGGCTCCTTATTCATGTTAAACCCAGCTTGCAGGTTTCAAGCTTGTGAGCATTATACCAATATCAAAGTATTTTTTTTTAAAACGGACTGTGTTAAGTTGTATGTTATCAAGCAGGTGCTCATTTTCTGTCCTTGTATACTTCTGGTATGATTATGATGAGTCTTTACTTGTTCTAGTTTTTAACCCACCGAAGTAGAAAATGTTTGATAGGTCATTATAGTGATTTTCAATTATTGCTTTTTTTTATATTGACGTTTAACTTATAATTAATGGTTATTTTTTATTTTCTTTAATTCTTTATATCTTGGCAGATACGACTTTGCATTACTTATAGTTTGCTTCAGCTACTATAAGTTAGTCCAAGTAGTTTCCTGTCAATGCATTATTATGCTGTTCTTGTATGGTTAATTTTGTTATTTTTTTGTCTTATTGGGTGATATATGCAGGAAAAACTGTATTTACTAGTGATCATGCACTCAAGCTGGAGTGGGTACCAGATTGGATAGCTATTGTCGGAAGTGGTTATATTGGACTTGAATTTAGTGATGTGTACACCGCACTTGGTAGTGAGGTATGAATTTACTGTTGGCTACCTTTTTGATAGGTTTTCTTAAAGCTAGTGTTTATTCCATGGTTGATTCTTTGCCTTCAACTTAGCTTCTGTTTTTCTTTTGCCAGATAAGGAGCACATAGACTGTCATAAATCCCCAGTGTGATGATTTATGTTCTGCAACATTACTTTTCTTTAATGCATAGACTGCCATAATCCTGAATACCTAGTTTTTGATGGTTTATGTTTCACAACATTGATTCTGTTTAATGTATAATGTTTTTATTTTTATGTGTTGTACTTCAGCATGCAACTCTTTACAACCATATAGCTTCCTGTGATATTAGCAGCACCATATTTACGTGTATTGACAAAGTCTGTGTCCTAGCATTCAGTATGCAAGGCTTTGCATTCTGTAAAGTTGCCTATGTTATTAGTAGTTCCATATTTACATGATTTTGGGTTGGAATTATTGTTCTCCTTTTGATTAACTATAGTGTTAGATCATGCTCACTGATCATGGTATCTGCTATCAAAGTTATCTTCTTTGATGATACCATTGGTGATGTCCAGCCATTGGTAATCATTCAGTACGAATTTCCAGTTCAGATAATGTTCTAACTTGGTAATGTTTATTTACCAAGCTGGATCTCTGCATTGAAAGGGGCGCATCAAAATATCATAGAAGGTGAAATAAGATTGTGAACAGAGATTATACATGCTACTGAAATTCAAGTAGCTGTAAATTGAATTTATTAATTAAATGGTTATGTTGCATTTAGAATTTATGGACATTCTACAACTGAGTACTGATTAATCATAAAAATGAATGGTTCACCATAATATTTAGTTTCTATTATCTTATTGACCTGAGTTCTACTGTTTGACTTGAAATGCTTCTAAGACCAACTTTGTTTTTGGCCAGGTTACTTTTGTTGAAGCTCTGGATCAACTTATGCCTGGTTTTGATCCTGAAATAGCGAAGTTGGCTCAGAGAATTCTCATTAATCCTAGGAAGATTGATCATCATACTGGTGTATTTGCGAAGAAGGTTTTAGTTCTCATCCTTTAATTTTGTGTTTCTGTTAATCAAAATTAAAGGTGTACTAATATTGGTGATATACGTTCTTATAGATCACACCAGCGAAGGATAGAAAACCTGTTCTTATCGAACTTATTGATGCCAAAACAAAGGAACCAAAAGATACTCTTGAGGTAAATTTTGATGTATTAATTTTTACTCTTGATGAGCTTTGCTGTTACCTTGATTTTTACAAAATTTTCTAATGAAAATGAGTGCCAAATCTGAATTTGGTTCTTAATGGTAATCTTGTAGTGTATTATGTGGATTGCTTATGCTCATATTCAAAATAGTAGGTTGATAAAATTTTGTGAAAGAGGTGGAACAAAATGTCATCCGGTGAAATGTTATACATGAGATGAGGATAAGTGTCTCACTTTTTATTCTAAGACGAGTAGCAGAAGTCCTTTTGATACTTAATACATGTTACAGTTAGAAGGATATGTCCTTGGATATTAAACAATGTCAATTGCTAGCAGTGATGTAGAACATAATGACTTAGAGTTGTCGTAATTTATTTCACTGTACCGACGCATTGTTACGAACTTAGCTAGTTTTGTCTAAGTTGTGCGGCACCCTTGTGTGTTCATCCGCAAAGGTCAATCTCCCCGAAACCTCCCATGGTCCCTTAGGACCTACAAAAGAGAAAACGGGTTAGAGAAAACGCTTCACTCGGGATCCACAAGCAAACATTTTCGAAAACATTTTATAGTCTATGCAAATTACAAACACACTTTACAAGCTCTGAATGGTTGTAAAACAAAGGGTCAAAATGGTCCACTACAAACCGAATATCTCTTACAAGTGTTCACATGACACAACCTTTATTTACAAGCCTAAAACAGTCACCAAACCCAACTAAAATAGGGCTGTTAAGTCTTCGACCGTCCCTCTATATGCTGTGCAAAGCATGAACAAGCCAAAAGACACGGATATACATAGGCATTACATCAAACATCCTGTTTAGAATTTTGTCCGTGACAGTATATTGATATATGTGTATAGTTCATTAGAGGAGTTATAGAGGAAGTTGTGTAGGGGACACTTGGTGTGTGTATGTCTAGTGTCACAAAGTCAGGGCACATGCACCACCACATAGCTGTGACATGGCCAATTGCAGGAAGATATGTGGTACATCGCTGCATCATCTTGCTAATAAAGCTAACAGCTGCTTCACTTGGGCAGCATGAGATTCTTAGATCCTTGATATATCTGCCTTTAGTAAGTTCAGTCTACAGTGATAAACTTGCTGGTAATGGAATTTATTTTCTTATTGTAAGGCAATTTATTGATTTGAGTAAGCATCCTGTACTGAGGAATAGTCAAATGTAAGTGTAATACATTTGTAATTGCTGCACACTAACTGGACATCATCATTTCAACCCTTGGCACTTTAGACATATTTCCTAGTTTCCCATGGCAGTCAAGATCATGCAATTTATCAGTGATTTTTGCTATTTTGTCTTAAGTATGTTAGACCAGTAAATTCTTTCAGGCGAAAGTTTACTAATCATGGCAGGATTAAAGGTATTAGACATCTCTTGTTAATACAACCATATTTTCTCTACACCTTTGATATGGTAGTTTTTGTTGTATGCTTATCTGGTCTTTTGTGAGTACATGGTGCTTGCTAGTATGCTTCACAAATATCATATACAAAGATATATAGCTTGAATATGGAGATATTGACATGACAGATGAGTACATGAAAATGTGATGACACTTTGAAATCTAAGTTGACTTTTATGCTTCTTGAATCTTCACTTTATTCTTTATGCATATGACAACCCTTAACTTTTTTCTAGCGTGTTAAATGTATATTACATGAATAGTAACATGTGGAAATCAACCTTTTTATTCACTTGGAAGTTTCTGTATGTGGTAGAATATTATTCAGCATACTGAAAATAAAGAAAACAATGGAAACCCATTGATTGTAGTAGCTTATAGCTAAATTTTACCGCTTTTTCCCCTTCACAATAGTAAGTGTGGATCATGAGTGAGTCAGTGATCATTTCTCATCCATCTTCTCCAATAAAAGTACAAACAGGTTATGACCAAATGTCAATCTTGTGTACCTTCATGGGCATGAACCTGATTTTGGATATGAGCCCAACCTATAGCTAAAAGAATGGCAAGGTATCTGCCATGGGTATTTAGGATTGTTTGATTATGTCCTTTCCATCTCATGACTTTCCAAGAAACAACAAATGGCTGCTGCGTAATCTACCAAATATAAAGAGTACCCACTACCCAAATCAATTGTTATTCAATATCTACCGAGTCACCGACTTTGCCATCATTATTTATGGAGGTAGCTTTGAAGGAGTAAATCGATTATTCTAGTTGTATATATAACTTAACTGTTGTCATTAGCTAACTTGATCTGCTTCCATGTTGCAAATAAGCTCATTGTTTTCTGCAGGTAGATGCAGCACTTATAGCAACCGGAAGGGCACCATTCACAAAGGGACTTGGCTTAGAAAATGTCAGTGTTTGAATTTGTTAACCTTAATGGAGAGTAGGATAAAAAAAAGAGATTCTAATATTTCTATGGTTCATTTCCAGATAAATGTAACTACAGTACGTGGTTTTGTCCCAGTTGATGAGCACATGCAAGTCATGGATGCCGATGGAAATCTGGTTAGTCCAGACCTTTTTGCTAATACATCTTAATCTTTATTATTGCATCTAGCTTTATAGTCTTTCAATTTTTATCTTTCCAGTGAGAAACTTTGGCTGTGGCATAAACTTCTTTTTTTTAAATGGGCAAATATCTCTATAGGTCCCTCATATATATTGCATAGGAGATGCCAATGGAAAATTGATGCTTGCTCATGCTGCTAGTGCACAAGGGATATCAGGCATAATTTCTCAGACTATTTTTATTTTTCATACTTGTAAATCTTTGTTGTTTAACAATCGGTTTCATTGTGAACATAGTTGTTGAGCAAATATCTGGGAACAATAACGTGCTTAACCACTTAAGCATTCCAGCTGCCTGTTTCACACATCCTGAGATCAGTATGGTTGGACTTACGGAGGTAAACATGCCTTGAGGATTGCAAATTTTAAAATGTGTTTCCTGTATCACACTTTATTTCACTGTTTTTGGAAGCTTGGTTTTTATAGAAGTTAAAATGATAGAATTCAGCAAACTGTTTGACAAGAATTTTTTGGTGTGCAATAAATATGTTTCTCTCCAACTGTTTGGCAAATGTTTATTGTTATGCTATTAGATCTAATAGATCCTTATCATACTGCATTATATGCTATAGACACCCTCATCTTCTCATGTTTTGGGCATACTTATGATGTATCTTGTATATATTCATCTTCGTTGCTGCTTTTAGTTAGAAAATGCATTTGTAGTTCATGCTCGTTCATTTTCTGAGACATGGTTTTGTTCCTAATGGTGATCTGAGTATATTTATGCTGAATTTCTATGATGGGATAAACTCTATATCTATCATGACAATGTACAAAGAGCAACTTTATCAACACCATGGGAAGATTTAAAGGCATAGCTAACACAGATAAACAACAAGATCCCAAAAACTAAAGAATTTTGATACTTTGGATATATTGTAAAAGAAGGGAAGATTGAAGAAGATGCCTCTTGCAACTTAAATTGGAATGATTAAAACTTAAAGGGTAGAGGGGTATTTGGAGTATATTTATGCTGAATTTCTATGATGGGATAAACTCTATATCTATCATGACAATGTACAAAGAGCAACTTTATCGACACCATGGGAAGATTTAAAGGCATAGCTAACACAGATAAACAACAAGTTCCCAAAAACTAAAAATTTTGATACTCTGGATATATTGTAAAAGAAGGGAAGATTGAAGAAGATGCCGCTTGCAACTTAAATTGGAATGGTTAAAACTTAAAACATAGAGGGGTATTTGGAGTATTTTGTGCTCATCATGCATCCTTGATAAAAAAGAAAGATTTTATGAGACATTGTAAAACTTAATATGCTTTACACATTAGAATATTGGGCAGTGAGAAAACAACACATTGGAAAAGCTTAGTGTCACTAAGATGAAGATGTAGAGATAGACATTTGGTTTATTATGGAAGACAGTCAGAAAATTTTGCATTTGTAAACAATTTGCACCAATTCTGATTAAGGATAAAATGTTTGGAAATTTTCAATGTAATTTGGAGATCCTCAAAGGAGATGTAGAAATGCACCTGTCAGGTGAGCTGGTTAATCTAAATATGTAGTGTGAAGAGATCAAAAGGGATAAGAAGACCTTGTTTGAAATTGATAAGGCATATTTTGGATACCGGCCACGTCGCAACCCATGCCACGTCACGTCCCTGCCGAGTCAGCACGAGGACTGACTCCCCACGCGGAACCGAAGCCCGCTCGGGAAGGCGCCCCCTTGGTAAGTCCCGTCCCGGAAAGCTCGGGACGGCGCCGTATGGCGCCGTTCCACGCTCACCGGGCGGTGTCCGTACAAAGGTACCATCTGGCCACTCGAGGGTTGGCCGTCGTGCCAAATCCGCGTACGACCGATCCTCGAGTAACAGTATAAAAACCCCTGGCCGGCACCTGGCCAGGGGTAAGAACAAAAAAGAGGAGAAGACCATTGACTTAATCTACGAGGGACCCAATTTAGGAACACCCCGATCAGGGTCTGTGTGCAGGAGTTCGGCCACCCCGGAGGCGCGACCGACCCGACCGGCAACTCAGCTTGTCCCTGGCTCGTCCACCGTCCAACCGAGAAAGCGCCGCCAACCCCTCGGGATCTCCGAACATTGGCTCGTGGACCAAGCCGTGCTGACTCCTCGGCCACGGCACGAAAGTTCACCAACAGAAAAAATAAAAGGAGACCATGATGATTCTTTAGTTGACTAGTGATTTGACATAGTAGTCAGGATCTACAGCTTGTTAGTTGAGTTGCTTTTGATGAATTTTTTTCTACTTGTGTATGTCACAATTTTGCAAGTCCCTTATGCCTACGATACCTATAGTCTTTTTTCCACCAAGATAGCAACTAAGAAGTCTTATTAGCATAGCTGAAGTTTTTATAGATTCGTAAACCTGACCATCATCTCCATTTTGCAAGTTTGTTGACTGTTGAAACTAAGCATTAAAATCTTGGTCCAATACAAGAAAGTATATTGTGCTTGCGATACATGTAGCTTTTCCACCAATATAGCAATTAACAAGTCTTACTGGCATAGCTGAAGTTCTTATAGGTTGGTATATGTGATTAGCATCTTCATTTTGCAAGTTTGTTATCTGTTGTAACCAAGGTAAAATCTCAGTCTAGTACCAATATTAGTCAACAACCAGATTGTTACAGTAGTGGTACCATCAATGAACCAAGTATCAGGACGTTAGATGCTGGTCAGAGGCCAGACCACTACTGCCACATGCTAGGAGCCTAGGACAACCAAAAGTGCTGAGAGGGTCAGCTACATACCACCCACAATGGTGGGGAGCTGGTAGGGGCAGTCGAAGGCAAGCAAGGAGGAGTCAAGGTCATATGAGGCAATAGAGATGGAGACATTGACGAGTCGTGTGTGGTGATGAAGGTGGAGAGAGTTTCAGAGGTGTTGGCATAGCATGTGGGTGAGGAGGATGACATTCAGGTTATGTAATCGAGATTACTTTCAAGGAGAAAAAGGAATGGGAAGTACATTGGTGCCAAAATGTAATCGAGATTACTTCATGCTATAGTTTGTTACCAGTAAGGTTCCTGGGCACCAATATGGTAAGTGTACCAGGTGGTAAGCCCAAAGTTAAATCAGACCAGGTGAAACCAACCGTCTGGCCCATGTATTGTTTATCATCGGCTGGTAAATACTGGTCTGAACTGCCAGTATGTTGGAAAGTTAAAACATTGGTTGCAAGAACAATATCCACATTCATTAGTAACATAGTAGATAATTGATTTGTCTATTAATTTTTCTATTCATTGTGCTTCAGCTGTTCACATGGATACTCAGATGGCACTTGAGAAATTGGCTTAATAACATCGGTTTGGATTCTTAGTCTTAGTTGCTTAGTAACTTGCAAATTTTCTACCTCCTCCACAAGGGAGTTTAATGTATTATAACAAAGTTTTACTTGAAATAAGATTCACTGAGATGAAAAATCTTTTCCAGTCATTGTTGTGATATCTTGTTATACATTAGTTTGTGTCACAACCATTGGTTTCTTTATTTATTTCTCTTTTTTTCTCACATGTAAGGTTTAGATGTCTATATGAGTTATTTTGCAGCCTCAAGCAAGGGAGAAAAGTGAGAAGGATGGATTTGAAATAAGGGTTGCTAAGACTAGTTTCAAGGCGAACACAAAGGCTCTAGCAGAGAATGAGGGAGAGGGGCTCGCTAAGGTTACTTTTGAAACCATTACCGTCTTGTGAAATTAATTTGATTACACTGTCTCATTTCTGGATGTTTGTGTAACACTTACCATTATAGTATCTATTTCAAGATAATGTGCTCTTTTGAGGCCACATTGAAGTGATCTATTATTTAATAGAAATATTTTTTTGTTTACTCTAATTGCTTAGATTTTAAAAAATTTGCTTGGATAAAAATTCTCTTGCATGTGTTGAAAGACAATTTGGTAAGTAAAATTTGTAGCTGGAGAGTTCTTTTGCAAATGTAAACACATTTTCCTATTTGTCTCTCATCTGTTTCTGAATCTACTGTTTCATCTTAAGTTGGACCTTAGTTCAACTGGATTTTGGAGCTAAATTTCTTGTCCTTCTCTTTGCCAAACAAAGAAACATGGATCCTTATGTTTTGTGTTCACTGTGCCTAGTTCACCTGTGATTTTTCACTAATTACAGCATGATGTAAACATATATTGTTATGGTGATTAGCTGCTTTTAGTTGCACAGTATGTGTCCTTCTAGACTTTGTTATGGGCCCAAGCCTCAAATGGAATAGGTGAACCAATCATAAATTGTAAAAGCAATTAAGGCTATATAACTTCCAAGATTAATATAAGTATGTGCTTGATTTCTTTTTGGTAATTTCCATACTTGAATTTGTGGAAAAAGACATGATGAGAAGTTTTGATGTGACATTAGGTTGATTGAAAATGAGAATTAATGATCCATAAGGCAGGCCTAGAGTAGTTTCCATGGGTCTTGATGATCATGGCTATTGATCTCACCTCTACAAAACATTATGGTATTATAGTGCACATATACAGAACTAAAAACATGGATAAAACACTTGGAGATGTGTTGATTTAAAAAATCTTGTTGTAGTACTAGAATATATTATGTCATGGAAACAAGAAATGTGTTTTTTATTTATTTCAGATAGATATCAAGCATTAAATTATCATTGTTAGAAAATATGTTAACATTAATGAGAAGTAATTAAAAGTTACAAGTATATTTAATCATCCACTGCTAAATGACCTTGTTGAAAATAGACAAAAGTTTAATGTTCATTAAATATTCACTTTATGTGGTTAATTATACTTCCATCATCCTTTTTGCATTGTTTAGTGTTTTTTATTTATTGTGGATGGTTATCAAACATTAAATTATAATTATTGGAAATTATGTTAACATTAATGATACGTAATTAAAAGTTACATAATTATATTTATTCATCCACTGCTACATGGCCTTGTTGAAAATAGGTAAAAGTTTAATATTCATAAAAAATTTACTTTATGTGGCTAGTTATACTTCCATCATCTTTTTTGCAATGTTTTTCAAATAATCACACCTGTGTTACAGTCAACAGAAAAATTTTATCTCATAATTGATTTCTTGGGAATATTCTGCAATCATCAACATAATAAAACCAGTCAGTACAATTAATTGACAATACCAACGCAAAATTCCAATGCGAATATGAACATTCTTCTCACAATATTTCATCTCATATCAACTGTTGTCTCTATCTTGTGGAACTATTTCTTAACTTATGCTTACTTTGAAGATTTTGTTTCTTTTTGATGCAGTTGATATACAGACCTGATACTGGGGAAATTCTTGGAGTTCATATTTTAGGGCTTCATGCTGCAGACCTCATCCATGAAGCATCAAATGCTATAGCCTTAGGAACACGTATACAGGTGATCGTATTTTATACTCGAGTCTTTTTTAATTTTTTAAGAACAGCAATTGCCCACACTCATATTTTATCTGTCTTTTTGCAACAGGATATAAGGTTCGCTGTTCATGCACATCCAACCCTATCTGAAGTTTTGGATGAACTCTTCAAATCTGCCAAGGTATGCATATTATTTTGTTTGGTATATAGCTTCCAACACTGTCTGCAACCCCGGTAATTTCTTAAAAGCTAGAACTGTGTCGGACAATATGTTACTAAATCAGAAGAAAGATAAGAACATCTGTCTCAAATTAGGTGTTACCATTATTAAATTATGCACTTGCTACTCATTGTCTACACTGGTTAATTTAATCACATCAATAATGGTAAAGCCAAAATGACATGATCAATTGTTAAATAGCAGCAAAGAAGTGATCGTTTTTCGATAAAAATATCATGGTGACTATCTGGGTCGTTCATGGAGTTTCCAGCCTGTTCAATGTTCAGCTTTAAACTCCAAAATCATGATATGCTCTTGTAGTGTCGAATTTTGAATATCAGGTAATTGTTGTTATCCAATTTAAATTGATCCATCCAATTAGATTAGTGTGGATCTCCTTGATGACATATTTTGGGGGTGGGAGAAGGAAAAGGAAAAGATAAACCTTGAATTACCATTCAGCATATATTTGGTTGTGAAATAATCTCGTAGGTGATCTTATGTCAAATCATCTGCAGCATAGTATTCTCATAACAATTGGTTTTTGTTTTCTCGGTGATGCTGGGCTGTTCTGGATACTCAAGGCAATCTGTTATTTACTGTCAATACGTTCTTTCTCTTGCTTTGGCAGGTCAATGTGGGTACTTCCCCTTCTGTAAGTGAACCAGTTGCAGTGTAATCTGGAGGAAGCCTTCTCAAATACATTAGGCTACATCAACAAGTTCACTCATGGACATTAATTCGAGGAATGCCCAGTGGAGGTGCTCCTGCAGAACTCATGGAAGGAGAGCCTTTTTCTAGTTTTACAATTTTATTTTTAACTCCAAATTTTGGGTCTTCCAGATTTATTTATTAATGGCATGATAAACTTGATGTCCCCAGTCTATTTAATTGCTTCTTACAGACAATAGGAGTTCCACTTCGTGATCGGGATGTTGTGCTGTGATCATCAAGTTCTGTGTTTGTCTACTCATTCTGTCAATGATTTCACTTATTGTCTTGCATTTTAATGAAGGTGGCAACTGAAGACTCCTGACCACGAGAATAAATCACAAGCAAGGGTGAAATGCTTGGGCGCGACGGATCAACAATAGTGAGCCCATCTCCTCTTGTTTATAAATATAGATGCCTGTGATCATGAAATAGTTGTCACCAATATGAATGAAACGCCCTACGTGCTTCATAGTCTAGTAAGGATACGAATTCAAGATAGGAAGGATTTCTCATCAAATTCTAGTTCGTCGAGATATACAACTATCGATCTTTGTCTTTGTATATCTGATATTGCGTGATATCTTTGTTGATCTCTGTTCTTTATCTCTATATCCAAGTAAAATCTCGTAATATCTAGATGACAACTTATCTTGAGATCCAGATATGGAAAAGATTTATTTTATGGTTCAACTTTACATCGCAATCTACAACCATCTTACGTTTGTCTGTCTCCTTTTATCTTGAAAAATAATCTCTCAACACCTCCTCTTCACGTTTATTGACGCCGGTAATCTTTGCTCCTCCTCCTCTCTCTAGTTTTGATTTCCTGTGAACTAATAGTTCTTGTTCGATTTTGAATACCAGCTCAAGATCAAGATGTGTCGACGAGAGTAACAAGATCAAGATATTAACTCAAACATCTGCCCTTGACTAAGATTGAGAAGGGAACTATTTGTTGCCAACGGTGTGATCCCCGTTTCTTTTCTTTTTCTTTCGAGAATGCGTGAAAGAGAAAATTGGTAACATCAAGTAGAATATTAACGTCTGTGAAATTTCATGCCGTTTCTCCAAAAGCTAGATTTCACAAATTGCTCCTCGGGTTAGTATTGGAATCTATGTTCTTGAATTGCCATGCATCCAAGAAATAATCTCAGTAGCAAGCAAAAAATTCCGATATTGTCGTGTCATGAACATGTGCTTTGGCTCGTGTTTAACTCCATTCGAATTCAAATTTTTATTTTATTTACTCACTAGTATTGTTATTATTATTGCAGCGATGCACCGTGCTATCTCTCTAAAGCTGTGTTGTTCGGTGATCCAATTCACGTGGCTCTTACTGGAGAAACAATACTTAAATCTTATTTAAGTATTGCGAGATATTATTATTATATCTATTTTATCAATTCAAGTTCTAGTAGATTGGATATCATTGAAACTCAAATCATATAGATGGTTTAATAGAGGAGGAAAATAACAATACCAATATCTATGCGCTTTTATTCGTAATCACATGCAATCCCTCAAATCAATAGCATTTACATTGCCCCTATAAATTTATGGGATGATCAAACCATGAGGTTGACTTTGATTAAGATTAAGACTCCTAATTCAAGATTGGGAATGAGTCTGAATCTTAGTCAAAGTCAATCTGTATGTCAACCACCTTGTAAATAGAGATGAGGCAGAGGATATTTACGAGTGGAACTCTGTTAAGTTGCTTTCTCAGGTGTCTCGGTCCATGAGATTTCTACCTCCAAATCAAGCATCTAATTCTCTACAATCGAATCCTTCAGTTGACTCCTTCCTGAATCACTATCTTTCCTCGGCTCTCTGTCAATGGTTCCTCGTAAGAGGTCGTTGAATATCATATTTTGATAATAAAATCAATTGATAGTGTTTATGATTTGACCTATGTTTTAAGTGATACAGGATGCTTTGATCATAGAGACAATTAAAGCAGGAAGAATTATGTTAGGTCAAAAGAAAGACATGTTAGAAAGATCGGTCGACGTATCGACAGAAGGTTTGGGCCATAAGTTCGGGCATCGAGCCAAGAAGAACAAAAATTATGTCAAGTAAATCAGAGTTACGGAGGTCAACTGGCCGATTGGACAATAGGCCGCAAGAGAGGATGATGCGCCGAAGATTCGAACGAAGCACTGATAAACCAATGACATGCCGGATAACACTTGATTTGCTTTTTAATAATTGTCTAGATCAAAGTAGGTTTAATGTGTGCAGGATTAACTACAATAGCAAGGCATAAAGCAAAATGAAGTTCCGGAGTCAAGAACACGATTTTGTTGAGAGTTCGAGAGTTCGTCGGAAGTTCGGACATTCGTTAGAAGTTCTATCGGAATTGACCGAGAAATCCAAGAGCTTGCAAAAGAAGCTCGTTGGAACTCGTCAAGAAGATCGTCGTGAAGTCCAGGAGCTTGCCGGGAGTCCATTGGAACATTGCCGAGAGATCATCATAAGTTTACCAGAAGAAACCCAGACTTACGGACTTGTTTAGCTTGGTAAATGTCTTAAATTTCGTAGTTAACACATAATTGAGATTGAAATTGGGCCAACCCAATTAGGGGCCAGTTAGGCTCATATATGGACTATGTTGAGCCCAATAAAAGGCACAAACAGTGACCCAACAAGTGACACCGTCATGGCACAGTCTCTGAGACTGTGTCAGGCGATGGTACCGCCCAACACAGGCGGTGGTACCGCTAGGACCCGGGAAACCCAGGATGAGATATTTTTAGGCTCCAAGTTTGAATCAACATGAGGCCTATAAATACCCCTCTCATCCTTGGTTAACATACACAAGAATTGAGAGTGAAAAAGAAAGAAACGCTGCTGTAATCTTGTGTGAACTCCTCTCAAAAATCTAAGTGTTAGAATAGCTTGAGAGAGGAGTAAGTGGGGGCGTAAGAGTTATCTCCTAAACCCGATAAAAGGAGAAAGAGTTGTAAAAGGTGGTTGGTCTTCGCTTATTGAAGGAAGACCAATAGTGGATGTCGATGGCCTCAACGGATGAGAAATCATAAGTGGATGTAGGTCACGACGACCGAACCACTATAAAATCTGGTTTGCATTTCTTTTAAGGTATTTACTTACATTGCAAACTATTTTATTTACTACGCTTCCGTACACTTTCAATTTCAAGCTATCTTTCCGAAATCAGCTTTAATCAAACGAGAGATTTTGAACCGACGTAATTTTTACCGCTGCACTAATTCACAACCCACCCCCCCCCATCCTTTTAGTGTCGACTCGTTCCTATCAGTTGATATCAAAGCCTAGTTTTTCTCATTTGGTTTAACACATAAGAGAAATGGCTCTTTTCGACTTTCAAGAGGCTCACTTTCACATTCATCCTCCCATGTTCAATAGGACGAACTACACATATTGGAAAACTCGAACAAGAGTTTTTTTTTCTTTCTTTGGATTTGAATTTATGGAATATTGTCGAAATTAGTTTTCAAATGTCTTCTCTTCCAATGAACCATTGAAATGATTTAGAGAAGAATGACTTTTTCTTTAAATACTAGAGCTATGAATGCTCTATTTTGCACCTTAGATAAAAATGAATTTAATTGGATTTCTACTTGCGAAACCGCTTTCGATATTTGGCACACTCTTAAAATCATACACGAAGGCACAAGTAGGGTTAAAATCTTTTGATGCGTGATTTTGAATTATTTCGTATGAAACCAAGTGAAACCATTAGAGACATGTATACCTATTTTACGGATGTCGTCAATGGTTTAAAAGCACTTGGCAAATGTTTTTCAAATTTTGAGCTTATTAATAAGATATTAAAATTCCTTCCAAAAAGTTGGAATCCTAAAATAACGGCAATACAAGAAGCAAAAGATCTCAATATTTTTTCACTTGAAGAATTTATCAGTTCATTATTGACATATGAAATGACTTGCAATGCTTATGAAGAGTTTGAGAACAACATTCCAAAGAACAAGAATAATATGACATTAAGAACTCATGAAGACCACTTGAAAGAAAATTCAAGTGATGAGGACTATGATGATGACTTTGCACTCTTGACAAGAAAGTTCTTAAAACAAAAATTAAAAAATAAAACAAACTAAAAAAGAACACAAATTGGGACGAAACGAGTACATCCGAAGACGAGAAACAAACCGATGAAGACGAAGTGACAAACTATGCCTTAACGTAAACAACTCAAACAAAACTTTACTTTATTTTAAAATTACTTGATTTTTTTTATGAATTGTTAGTTATATATATATATATATATATATATATATATATATATATATATATATATATATATATATATATATATATATATATATATATAAT